GGCTTTTCCTCTCGTTTTTTTTTTTTTTTTTTAAAGTTTTTGCCCTAGGGCTTGTGCTCTCGATGGAGAGAGACAGAGAGAGTCAGGGAGAGGGAAAGTGAGAAATCATCCCCAGAGGGGATGGCCACGCCGCAATCCCTTCTCCATCCTCCTCCTGGGATTTTAGGCATGCACACACAAACACCCAGCATGGGTTTCAAGCCACCAGGTCTGGGACTCAAACTGTGGTCGGCCATATAGTAGTCCAGTGCCATAACCACCATGCCACCTGGCTTTCTATCCTTTAATTTCAGCAAATATTTCCTAGCACTAAAAACAAAGACTGGCTGCTGGCTTCAAAGACTGTGGTGTCCAGACAAGGTGTGAGAGGCGTCAGTGTGCTGCAGAAAGAGAGCAGTTGTACACACCTCTGGGGCAGCTGGAAGCCTTCCTGGAGGAGGTGACTGTCAGGCTGAGCCCTGGAAGTAGAAGGACTGAGAGGGTCCGGGTGAAGGAGTGCAGCTCTGCTCTGTGGTCTCAGTCTGGCTAGAGCATAAGAGCAGGGACAGTGAAACTGTGATGTCGAGGGACTGAACATTAAGGGATCCATGTAGGCCTTACCCACACGCAGTAGGCCTTCTGAACAGAGGGTGGCTGGAGCAGGTTTGTGTTTGACACAGACCTGCCTGGCAGCCAGGTAAGGCTGGAAGGGGCAGGGCAGTGTGGAAGTCCCGGGCTGGGCCCTGAGGAAAGCCTATGCTGTAGCAGTCTGGGGTGCTGGGGAGGAGAGAAGGCTGCAGAGGTGTCGTCGGGGACGGGGACACGGTGTCCTCGTGTCAGTGAGGGAGACGGCGGGGACTGCCTGGATCTGGCTTGGGCACCCCGCCTTGGCGATGCCCACCCCTCACAGCAGCCACTGAGAAGCCAGTGGGCCCCCTGCACTGTTTGAATTCAAAACGCCGGGCCCACGTGCATGTGAAAACGCCTGGAGGCAGGCCGGTAGGGGCCTGTGCTCAGGGCGGGTTCTAGGCTGGAGACACAGGCTTGGGGAGCCCACATGGGGTAGATGGTGGGGACGGATGGGTCCCCCAATGAGAACGTGTGGCAGAGAAGTAGGTCCAGGATGGGCCACAGCTACGTGAGAGGGGGCACGGACAGAGCTGGGAGGGAGGGGCCTGCTGACGGGGCTGAAGGTAGGGCTGGGAGGAGAGGGGGCACAGAGCATGTGCAGGTACAGCAGGGAAGGCGAAGCCTGAGGAGCGGCCCGTGGGCCACAACAGCTGCTGTCAAGGCCATTGGCCAGTTCCCAGGGACAACGGGGCCAGAGGCCAGAGGCCAGGTTATGCTGGCTAGGGAGGAACTGACAGAGAAGCCACAGCAGAAGCGCTCAGTGGCTTTCTCTCTCTCTCTCTCTTCTTTTTTGGAGAGGTTTTTGCTATAGGGCACGTGCACTTGCCAGAAGGACAGAGAGAGACAGAGACAAAAAGCGAGAAATCACCCCCCAGGGGGCATGGCTACACCGCAATCCCTTCTCCTCCATTCTCCTCCAGAGATCTTGAGCATGCACGCACATGTGCACAGCGTGAGTTTAAGCCACCAGATCCGGGACTCGAACTGCGGTTGACTACATGGGAGTCCAGCGACATAGCCATTAAGCTAACTGCTGGTCCTCAGCGCTCAGCAGCCTTTCTCAGGGCTGCTAAGGGAAGGAGAAAAGCAGGAAGTCGAGCAGCTTTGCGCTTTCCTCTCAGCTGGGATGTCCCCTGACAGAGCAGTGCCAAGGTCCCACCTTGGGCGCTGGCTCCTGGGACTCCCATGCCCACACCGCCTGCACCGCCTGCCTCCCGATGCTTGGCTTCTGCTCAGCAGGGAGCAGTGCTGCTCCCGCCTGTCCGGGGCCACAGCTGCAGAGGCCTCTTCCTCACAGTAGCGTGGCCCTGCCTCATACACTATCCCTGGGCCATATCCCGGTCATTATCCTTGTTTAATAGGCGAATGAACTGCGGCTCGGGGCGTTTCCCTTGCACCGTGGTGTGTCCCCGCCCATCGTGACCATCGCAGTCACGGCTGAGACACCACGTAAGGTGGCTCAGGGCGCCAAGCTTGCGGTCAGACAGAGATGTGGACTGCCCCCTGGTCAGCTGTCACCTCAGCCAGCATGCGTGGCCCCTCAGCCCCTCCGTGCCTTGTCTGTGAGGTGAAGCCACCGTGCACCTCCTGGCGCGGCTGTAGGGTATGTGCAGGTGTCACGGCTGGAGCCCGGTGCGCAGTGCCAGGGCGGGACAGCTGTCGTGGTGGTGGTGGTGATGGTATCGAGGTTGCTGAACTGCTCCGTCACTCTTCGACTCAGCTGTGAGCTGCTCGGAGACCAGGTTCTGTGTTCGTTCTGTGTCTTCCATACAGCCTGGCGTGTCTCATTGCTTAAACACGTTGCTAAATAGATTAAGCGAAAATGAATTCCAAAGAGACCCTACCGACTGGAGAAGGCCTCGCGGTCCCTGAGGCCTCCGGGCCATCGCTCTCTGCCCAAGCTCCAGTCTTGGTCTGCTCTCACTGGGGCTGGCCCTGGGCTTCTTGGTGGGCCCACCAGCCCACAGACCACACTGCCCAGCCCTGCAGCAGCTATGAAGAGCCTTGGAGACTGCGGGGGCCGAGCAGGACCATGGAGCAGCTCCGGCCGTCTGGCTCCCAAGTCTCATCCCCCACAGGACAGGGAGTGGGGCTCCCCAGTGACTGCCTCTCCTCCCGCCGGAGGGCTGCTCTGCAGCAGGTGCCCCGCCCCTTTGTCACCGTCACTGATGGGGTGGCCTGATCTTTGTGGGCCGCTGACCAATAATTTATATTTTTATTTTACAAATACATAGGGTCAGCCGTCTGTGCCTGGTACAGGTACAACGTGGTTCATTTCATCCTCACAACCATCCCGTAGTAGTGACCTTATTTTTTTAAGGTTTCTGCCACAGGGCATGTGCACTAGCCAGAGAGAGAGAGACAGAGAGAGGGGAAGTGAGAAACCACCCACCCACAGGTGGTCATGCTGCAATCCCCCTTCATTCTCCTAGGGCACACACCATCTGATATGATTTTCAAGCCGCTGGGTCCAGGATGTGAACTCTGGTCAGCTATGTGGGAGTCCAGTGTCTTAACTACCATGCCACCTGCTGGCCCCTAGAGACTGCTTTTATTAGTGCCATTTTACATTAGGAAACACTGAGGCGCAGAGAGGTAAAATAATACATAACTAGTAAGTGGCAGAGGCAGGATTCAAACCTAAGCTCCTAGGGAACTCTTGCTCAAAAAGACTGAGCCAGAGTATGTAGGAAGGCCAAGACTGATTCCCGCCCACAGGATGACCCCTCAAAGGTCAGAAGCCCACCTTCCTGCGTCCTCGGGGAGCCCTGCCTTTCCCTGGAGACACAGTCTGCTGCCCGCACCAGACGCAGCTGTGGATCCCCCTGCAGGCCTCGGCCTGACCGGGGTTGAGCGTTCCCAACTGCAGGGCCGAGCCCCGCCTGGCCGCCCTCGCTAACCCGGCTGTAAGAGGCTCCCATGCCGCTCCCCCTCCGCACATCCCATTCCCAGGTGGGTTCTGCAGCACCTACTGTGCACCAGTCTCTCTTCCACCCTCACTCCTCCTGCCCAGGATCTAAGGCAGACTTTGCCCTCCAGCCTCACCCCACCCCTCTGCCTGAGAACCCGCAGGGTGGTGAGGGAGGGGTGCTGCAGCTCCAAGTGTCCTGCCTTGGAAGCCAGGCTGCTCTGCATGTTCCCTGGGGCCTACTGGGCTGGGTACAGGCCTGGCACACAGCAGGGGCTCCCTTGTCTTCCAGGAATGACTCCTCGGGGCTGGTTCTCCTGCTTCTCCCCTGGAGGTCACTCACTGCTTTGACAGGAGAAAAAGAGACCCATGGAGCCTGGGCATACACCCTTCCATGTCTGCCCTACAGCCTCCTCCCCGTGGGTGGGAGCCCCAACCGGCCCCATCTGGACTGCTCCCACCGGGGTTCAGGCCGAACCTCCACAAGGGCTGTGTCCAACCGTCACGGCTCTGGTGTGAGACTCAGCTGCTCCTGAAGGGCTCCGTCTGCCTCCGGGGCCTGTCGGGGCCACTCAGCCCACACCCAGCGAGTGCTGTGACAGCCTCATCCTGTGCACCAGGGGACCCAGGGCTCCTGCTAGCTTCACGTGGCCGACCGAAAACCATGCTTGTCTCTGCCATGACACTTGCTACTCTTTATAGACTTAAAAATAATTTACTGTGTGTTAACCCTACTGGGAGAGGTGAAATGTTTAATCCATACTTATTGCATGCCACTACTTAAAATTTCGCTGAATTTTACATGCTTTAGAATCAGAACTTCTTTACCATGAGTTTTCTTTTTAGAGATTTTTGCTATAGGGCGCATATGCTCACTGGAAGGACAGAGAGAGAGACAGAAAGTGAGAAATCACCTCCCAGGGGGAATGGCCACACCACACTACAATCCCTTCTCCTTCATTCTCTCCTCGGGATCTTGGATACATACACACACACACACACACACACACACACACACACACGCCTAGCATGAATTTAAGCCCCTGGGTTCAGGACTTGAACTGTGGTCAATTACGTGGGAGTCCAGTGACACAACCATTATGCCATCTGCTTGTCCCAGCATGTTTTTACACAGAAAATCCAATATTCGGGGCCACTTGGGGCACGGTGGGTAAGGCAGCTGGATCCCACGTGGCCGACTGTGTTGTGTCCTGGACCTGGTGGCGTGAAAAGCACTCTGAGCACATGTGTGTGCATGCCCAAAATCCGAGAGGAGGATGGAGGAGAAGGGGTTGTGGTGAGGGCCTCTCCCTTCTGGGGGTGCTTTCTCACTTTCTCTCTCTGTCTCTCTGTCTCTCTGTCTGTCTCTCTGACAAGGACAGGTGCCTTGTGGCAAATGAGAAGAAAAATCATTGCGTGCCATTGTCTCTTCCTACGGTGAGCGTTGCTCGGAATTCAAGGGGCCCTTCTTCACTGTCTCTTGACTACCGGGCAGCCAGGAGTCACGTAAGCCCTCCACTGTGCTGTGCCTCAGCCATGTTTCCTAGCTTTTTGCAGAATGCTCTTTGCCTCGAGACTGATCCCCAGGGGCGTGATTGCTTCATCCAATGAGTTCCAACTTCCAGGTGGTTTTCTCTGCAACAGCTCACTCACTCCTCAGGCTGCGTTTCCACCGCTAGGTCCCTTCTGCGCAGTGACACCTCTCCTGACCTTTATTGGGGAAGGTCAGCACTCCAGGGAGATGGCCTGTCCCTACCAGATGTAAGCTTCCTGGGGACTGCTTCGTCCCTAACAGTCCAGACAGAGATCTGGAGCCCAGAGCGCCTCGCCAATTCGTTTCACTTCCCGGTCACCCGCGGGCTGACCAAGGGTGCACTGGCGTGTGGCCGCTTTGACCCTAATCCCTCCCCTCCTGGTTCGAGAGACGGTACTCGGTCCCAGGACTGAAGGTCAGACACCCATGTGGGTGCCTTCCAGGTGAAGGCTGACTCCTCCCCGTGTGATCAGGGCATTGGGCTGGCTCCAGACGGAAGGCCAGCTCTTGTTCTACGGCAGAATGTGAGCTCGCCGTATGCGGGACCCGAGGCAAGTCTCTCAGCGTCTCAGAGCAGTACTCCTTCCCAGAGCCGCTGTGAGGGCTGAGACTCAGCCCTTGGTAAAGGCCAGCCCTGCCCTGCTGTTCTCTCCAGAACTCAGCAGCTTCCCTCACCGTCTCCTGCTCCCTCCCCTGCCACGGCCTGCTTTTCTCCACAGAAGGCTCTGCTCTGTCCAGGCCCCGCAGGCTGCCCAGGGGTACAGCCTCCTCCCAGGCCCTGCTTGCCTCTTGGAAACGTTCCCTTGTGTCCACTGGGAGAAGCCGGGAGGCCCAGTCCCAGTCTTTGAGTTCCCTCTCCTCTGGGAGCCCAAGCCCTGGGCTGGTCTGACCTGCAGCAGGTACCTGCATGCGCGAGCACATGCACGCACATGCACGCACATGCACACCCCCAGCAGGCAGGCTTTCTCAAAGCTTTCTGAACTCCTCACAGCTTGACCCCAGCAGGGTCCACCCTGGAACCCCTCGCACGGAGGGCCCTGAGCGTCAGTGTCCATCTCGAGATTGCCCATGGTGCCTGGGTAACTGCCCTGCGTCCCGTCCCCTGGTCCCGGACCTAGGTCCAGGCTCGTGCTGTCACCTGCCCTGCCCTCGTTCTGAGAGGGACTTCCCTTTCCCTCAGTCTTGCTTCTTGGCTCCCTTTCCTACTCCCCCTTCATTTGCCCAGGTCTGTGGCCTCTGCACCCATGGGAAAGGCCCCAGGTTCCCTACCTCTGCCCTCCTGCACCTCAGCAGCAGGTCCCCGGCTCCCAATGGTGTTGAGCCCCATCTCTCTCTCCTGGGGGAAAAGAGGCCCGCGTCCTGCCTTGCCGGGCACACACCCTCCCTGTACTGTTTGGACTGACCCGTATCAGGTGGCTTGTGAGCCTTCAGGGCAGGGACCAAGTGCAAACAGAGCAGATAGCAGGATGTCACCCCTGGAGATGGTGGACAGATCTGTCCAGGGCTGGCCTCTCCCACCTCTCAGCGGCCAGGGGCTGGTGGGGCACCCTTCCTGCATAACGAATTTCCCAACCAAACAAAGCTAGTGCCAGGGCACTGGCATGGGCAGCTCCCCTAGCCCCTGCACTGTGGCTGACCCCTGTCCTGTTACCCTGCCTGCCCCGTCCCTCCCACTCCGCTCACCCCCCGTCCTGGTCTGGCTCTCGGGGACATCAGCCTGCTTTCTCAGCTGTAAAAGCTCTGTGGGGCCCTTCACATAACCCAGGTAGTATACGGCGCACTGAGTCACCTGTGAGGTCACCGAAGCCAGGCCTCCTCCCTGCTCATGGCCACGGTGAGGGCACCGGGGGTGTGGCCCCACTGCAGGGATTCAGGAAGAGAACGCTCAGGGCTTTGCTGCCAGCTGGCCGAGAGGACCTGTGACAGCGCCAGGAGGGTCCTGCCGCAGGACGGAGCCCCGCTCTTGCAGTGGCTCCCAGGCTCACCTCCCCGGGGACGTCCCAGTAGCCCAGCCGGAGACACACTGGGCTCTGAGGAGGATGCCTACTCTTTGCCCTTCCCAGACTGTCCCTGTTCTGGAGAAATCCCCTCCTCCTTGGGGGCACCACCCTTCCTACCCTCTGTTTCTGAGTCTGGTGGGCTGGTGGCCCCGGGGCAGATGGCATGGGCCAGCCCCGCCTGGTCCCCGGGAGCAGCTAGGACAGCGTGCTCACTCCCGGGCTGCCAGAGCAGGGGCCCTCTTGGTGTCAGGGTCAGGTGGCTCTGGGGAGACTCCGCACTCACCCATGGCCAGGGAGGAGTGGGTGTGTGGGAGGGAGCTTGCCCAGGCCTGAGGTCATGTCCTTCAGGTACTGGTTCCACTGGGCCTTTGCACCTGGACTTTTCACTTCTACGAGCCAATAAATTCCCTTTATGGCTAAACTGCTGTTGAGCTGGATTTCCTGTTGCTGACATCTGAAGAGTCCTCATGAATCCAATAAACCACAGTGCAGACAACACGGGGCAACTCAGCCTCAGGCCCAGCTCCACGTGAGGCGCGTCTGGTTGTTGTCATCCCATTTCAAAGAAAAGGAATGGAATCAAGGCTTGGAGGTCCAGGGCTCCCCAGTCCCCGTGAGAGAGTGTGCGGCCTGACACCCAGGTCCTCTGACACAGCCCTTGTGTCCTGCTGGGTCTCGCATGTCCAAGAGCCACTATCCCCTGCTGGGATCAGGCCCTGGCGACTGAGGAGGTGACAAGGGCAGAGGCAGGATGGCCCAACACCTTGAAGTCATGGCCGGTCGCAAAGGGCTCTGGGACTTACAGAGAAACAGCTCTCTGGGATGCACAGCCACCGACGTTCTTCACTGCACTTGGGACACTCTTGTGACAATGAAGGAGACATCCATGAATGAAAAATAACCCCACAAGGCTGATGGCTGAGTCCAATACCAGACCCAGCTACTTGAACAACACGCGTGTGCACGTGTGTGCTCAGAATCCCAAAAGGAGGGAGAGATAGAGACGGGCTTGTGGGATGATCATCCCCTGCGAGGTGCTTTCTGTCTCCCTCACTCTCTCTTTCTCTTTCAGGTGAGCACACACACCCTCTGGCAAATTAAAGAGAGAGAGAGAGAGAAATCACAGGTATGTATCAAAACTGCGATTCTGTTTTTCACAAAACTGTTGCATAGAGCTTTTTTAAGACTAGAAAAGGGGCCAGCGAATGGAGTAGTGGTTATGTCACTGAACTCCCAGATGGTCGACTGTGGTTCAAGTCCTGGACCTGGTGGCTCAAGACTCACACTGGGCAAGTATGCAGCTGTGCCCAAGATCCCAAGAGGAGAATGGGGGAGAAGGGATTGCAGTGTGGTCATCCCCCCGGGGGATGATTTTTTCACTTTTCCTCTCTCTCTGTCTCTATCTCTCTCTCTGAGACTGCACATACCCTAAGGTCAAAACCTCTAAAAAAAAAAAAATAGAAGAAAATATGGCAAAGATCATAAAATGATCTTCCATGGTGGAAACGTGTAGTTTTGGAAATTTCATTGTCCAGAGTAAGGGAGGGGCAGAGCTGGAACCAGAGCTCGGGCCATTGGCCACTCTGTGACATCACCACCATGCCAGAACATTCCTGGGTGACCTGTTTATTTGTCCCTTTTGCAAATATTTACCGAGCACCTGCCGTGTGCGTAACACAGTCCTTGCTCACAGAGGAGACACGGAGGGAATGTCAGACGTGGCACACTCGGGAGCTCCCAACCCCACTCGGCGTCTCGTGGGACATCCCACGGATGGCAGGCAGGACGCGTGGCTTCCAGTTACAGCTGTCCGCACAGCTGCCTCTGGCTCATCCTTCTTAACTTCTGCTTTCCGTGCGTTTTTGTACTCTACGTAACGTATTGCTGTAGTGACGCCCACGTAAAACATACGCGATACACGCCCGGCCCTCTCCTCTTCTCACTGCACGTCCTCATGGTCTTAGCTACTGTCTGCTGTCAGTGACTCTGTAACCCAGACTCTCTTCAACCCCCAGGCCTCATACCCAGGAGCCCCTGGGGCTCTCACCTGGACAGCCCACAGATGCCTGGAGCCCAGCCGAGCGCATCCAGCGTCCCCCCCGAACCTCCTCACCCTCCTGCTCACACGTTTTCTTTTTTTTTAGAGAGAGAGATTTTTGCTATAGAGCACAGGCGCTCACCAGAGAGACAGAATTGAGAAATCACCCCCCGCGGGGACGGCCACGCCGCAATCCCTTCTCCTCTACTCTCCTCTCAGGATCTTGAGCACGATACACACTCACCTGAGCTTTTTTTTTTTTTTTTTTGGAGGGGTTTTTGTTCCAGGGATCTTGGGCATACATGCATATGCGCCTGGCGTGAGTTTAAGCCACCGGGTCCAAGACTTGAATCACGGTCGCCTACATGGGAGTCCAGCGACATAGCCATTACACTAACTGCTGGTCCTCCCCGGGTGAGTTTTAAGCTGCCAGATCTGGGACTAGAACTGTGGTCTACTACATGGGAGCCCAGCAACGTAACTACTACGCCATCTGCTGGTTCCCTGCTTGTGCGGTTTCTACCAAGCGCTCCGAAGCAGATGCCTGCTCTGGCCCACTTTTCCCAACCAAGTGTCACACAGTAGCACGTGGCAGTGACAGCTGCTCCCTGTTCATCCAAGCCCAAGAAAACACTTCTGAACCAAGCTGGAATATAAACAGTGGGTCGCGGGCCTGGCAGGTGGCTTGGTGGCTAAGATGCTGGGCTGCCAGGTGATTGACCACGGTTCGAGTCTCAAGTCTGGTGGCTTACTTCCTCACTCTCCCTTTCTCTCTCTCTCCGTCTTCTTTCTCATAGGCCAAGTTAAATCATCATCATCATCATCATCATAAGTGAAATCTAATAAGAAATTCTTAAAAGAGTGGGTCTCGGGAACAGCAGTTGGCGTAATGGCTATGTTGCTGGACTCCCATGTAGCCGACCACGGTTCAAGTCCTGGACCTGATGGCTTAAACTCATGCCAGGCACTTGTGTGTGCATGCCCAATCTCCCGAGAGGAGAATGGAGGAGAAGGGATTGCAGCATGGCCATCCCCCCCGGGGGGTGATTTCTCACTTTCTGTTTCTCTGTCTCTCTGTCTTTCTGACAATTGCACACGTCCTTTAGCAAATTAAAATAATAATAATAACAAATATCTCACCACCCATTCTGTGAAGGTGTCTTTCAGGAACTATTAATGCTTTCCCCTACCATTTCTCCTCCTATGTTTTAAAAGCCAGGTTCGAGTCCCAGACCTGGCACCTTGCTTTCTCTCTGTCTCTCTCTGTCTCTGTCTGCTGAGTGCCTGTACCCTATAGCAAAACTTTAAAAAAAAATTTTTTAAAAGGAGAAGAAGAATAAAAGAATAATAAATTAAATAATTATTTTTTTAAAAAATGACTTTAAAGAACAACAAAAGCCCCTCATTCTACTGAAGTCCCTACGCCCTCCAGGAGTTAGCAAACCTCCAGGTTCTGCTGGGGTTGAGCGTGGGCTGAGCTTGGTCGTTCTCTTCCCGGCAGCCCTGCTGTGGCAGAGGGCAGGAGGCACACAGACACCTGCTGACGGAGGAGGGTGGGCAGCTGCCGGCGCATCCCGTCCCAGTCCCAGCCATGGTCTGCTCCTCCCCGCAGTGTGCCTGAAGACCTAAAATAGAGAAGACGTAGTTCATGACCAAAGGTTATCTTTCCAAATGACCTCACGCATCGCTGGGTGGCCTGAACTTGATCTTGCTGTGCAAACAGGACTCTGGCCCTTCCTGACCCTGGTACCTTGCATAACTCTGGCCTGCTTCTGGGAGAAAGCCTCGCGGGCGGCCTCTGCTACTGCTCCTCTGTGGGCCTTCCGTGAGAGGTGAAGGGTGAGAGCCGGTGGCGGGGGGATGCCCCCCTGGCCTGGCACAGATGGCCGTGGGACACGAGAGGAGGGGGCGGTGGGTGGCGGTGCCTCTCACACAGGCGGGCAGTGGGAGGGCAGGCCTGGGAGGGCCGGGGCATGAATGCTGCTGCTGCTGTGGGTCCTGGGGCCACGCTCTGAGAAGCAGGGTTTTAGAGGAAATCGCCTCATCTTGAACCCCCCAGTGGACCCAGCCGGCCGACTCACACCGAAGAGGGCCGCTCCTGCCCGAGCTGGGCGGCTGGTTCTGGCCCTGCACACTGGCTGGGCCGGCAGTGGCGAGTCCCTCCCTGGCTTACTGCCAACAGACGCTTGGTGACTGTCCTGTGGTTGGAGAGCAGCAGACACCATCAGTGGTCACCGCGGCGAGTGGGCGCCAGTAAGCTGCACGGGGGAGCCTTCCGAGGGGCCGCCTGCTGGCCTCTGCCCCCGTGCGCATTAGACATCCCCTCGTGACGGTGACATTTTCTCAGGCCTCATTCGTGTGTGTCGTAAGAGGACCCACAGTCACGCTTCCTCAAAGGCCTACACGCGTTCTAAGTCGTATTCAGAAGGTTTCTCAGTTTCTTCTAGGCCCCCGCCCCGGCTCCCCCTGTCCCCTGTCCTGCCTCCAGCACCCACAGTCTGGGCAGATAGGGGGGTTTGCAGAGGCCGGCTCTGGAGGGGGAGTGGAATCAGCAGTTTACTGACAGGAGCGTGAGGCAGCCTCGAAACTGAGGTCAGCCTCGCTCCCCAGGGCACAGCCTCAGAGGCACCCCGGCTCCTTCCTCTCTGCCCTCCGTCCACAGGGGCGACCAAGTAAATGGCCCTGTGCCAAGTGCCGGCCCTGCTTGCCACAGTCGGCAAGGGTCGGTCCCATCTGCGCAGGACGGGGGCTTTTCTTACGTCTCCGTGCGTGTGAGACTGCAGACGCAGGGGTTAGATTTCTTTGGACAAAGCCTGAAAGTATTTGATATTTTCTTTGGTAAATACTGCAGTGAAGTGGTGCCCGCTTCCTTACCGAGATCCAGATCTGCTTTAATCATTCCAAGAGGCCACACTTTCTTAAAGGCCTTGGCGCAAGGCCTGAGTCATCACCGGGCCCTCCACGGTCGCAGTGAGTGTGTGTCGGGTGAACGGACGTGTCATTCCAGGAGGTCCAGCCATCGCAGGTCTGACCGATCCAGGCTGTTTTCGCCTCAGTGGAGGTTGTCTTGTTTCTTTTCATCCTTCCCTTCCCTAGGTTCTCAGGTGGGGCATAAAATAAGCCTTCCTTTGCCCTGCAGCTGGCTTCCAGGGAGCAATGGAGTGGTCACTCAGCAACGCCCTGGCCATAGGCCCTGTCACCGGGAGCTGGGCTGCTCGTCCCTCCACTGTCCCTGCTCCCGCCCAGAACAAGCCCCGACTGGGTGTGAGTGTGCAGGGTTACCTGCCTTTCTCTGAGTATCTGGACCTCCAGGAACCTGCGAGGAGGGCGTATGTGTGGGCACCCCTCCAACCGCAGGGTCCCCAGGCCCCGGGCCTCAGGAGATGACGGACTTGACTCCTTCATCTAAAGAACAAAGAAGAGCAGGGGTCAGTAAAAGGCAGGTGGAAGATCCTGCTGCCGTTTCCCGACAAGCCAGAGGTGGGGAGAACGCAGCCCTTGGAGGGGGTGGTCTAGCCACCATCCTCCATTCTGTCAGAATCCGGGCACATGTGCACACACACCTGGCATGTCTTCCCAGCCTTCGAGTCCAGACTGGAACAGCGTAGCCAGCTAGGTGGAATCCAGGCGCCTTAACCAGGCCAGGTCCTGGCACTACCCTGAAAAATGTTTTTAAGAATTGTTTTGGGCGGGAACCAGCAGTTAGTGTAATGGCTATGTCGCTGGACAGTAGTCGACCGCGGTTCGCGTCCCGGACCCGGTGGCTTAAAACTCACGCCGGGCGCATGTGCGTGCGTGCCCAAGATCTCGAGAGGAGAATGGAGGAAAAGGGATTGCGGCGTGACCATCCCCCCTGGGGGGTGATTTCTCACTTTCTGTCTCTGTGTCTCTCTCTGTCTGTCTGGCGAGCGCACGCGCCCTATAGCAAAAAACTCTCAAAAAAAATTAAAAAAAAAAAAAAAGAATTGTTTTGGGTATCAATATAAAAAAATCAAGCCTCCCTTGCCCGGAGCCAGGGGTAGGGAGGATCCACCCGTGGCTGTGGCTCTCTTCACGTCCGTGTCACTTTGTCTCTGGGCCGTCTGTGCCAGATTCTGGGAGATGCCACCCAAGGTCAAGCATCGCTCCTCTCCTGGGGAAGTAGCGGTCTAGCTAGGGAGGTCGAGTCAGCCTACCTGAGAGGCCACGGCACAGTAACCTGGGGTAGGCTACACGGCTGCCCAGAGCACACCACGGTACCATGAGTAATTCAGGCGAGTTTGATTCATGTTCTCTATTATACAAGCTCACGCCCATTCCTACGCATGCCGGTTGTGTACTTTGCCACATCACGTGCCCCAGGGCATGTCCTTTCCTCAGGAGACGTTGCTAGAGGCCCCTGGTCACGGAGGCTGTCCCCACGTGTTTCTCCAGCAGCTGCCAGCTCCCACAGCCAGCCGGGCAGAGCAGGGTCAGGGCAGCACTCAGCTGGGGACGGGGTGGGCAGTGCTGTCGGTCAGGGCTGTGTGGCCTGATGGCATAGCCCCAGGTCTTCCTCCTGGGATCCGATACCAAAGTGACTTCTCGGAGCAGAGCCCTGGGGAGCAGAGCGGACAGGGCGTTCTGCCTGGCAGGCCTACCGAGGAGGAGGCTGCTGTGCCCTCCATGAGGACTCCCTGCCTGGCTCCTCTCCCACCAGCCCTTCCGCCCTCTGACCTAGCTGTGGCCTGGGTGAAGACTCGAAGAATCATGAGGTTCCCGGCAGGTTTCTCGGTCAAGCTGCCAGCGGTCTCAGCCAAGGCTATCGGCGAGGGAAACGCAGCCGGGGAGGAGCCCCCATGGCAGACGCCCTGGGCCAGTGGGAAGGAGCTCAGGGGAACGACCCGCCCCCCAGGCTGACCCAGGGAAACGAAGCCTGGCAGGCTGCAGACGCTGTATTTCAGAGCCCTAGCATGCCAGAGCATCTCACCAGCCCAGGAGCAGACGAATCAGTCTAAATTCTGGCATTTTCTGGGGTAAGTGAACAAGATTAGTACGAGTTCCCAAATACGGAATTTTTCCCATAAGTATGGATTTTGTTTCTATATCTCCAAACCACAGATCTTACTAAGGCTTGGAAATACTACTGAGGACTAAGAATAAATAAATCTTATTTATTATTTAAGTGGCAGATGTGCACAATGGTGCCACAGACCCCTGCGGACGTGAGCCAGAAGCCCAGCTCTGGCCTTGCCCCGGCACCACTCACGGGGGCTCTAGGGCTGTGGGGTCCTCCCTGCTCCTGTGCAGGGTCACGAGGGGCCTGCTTGTGTCGTGCTGTCTTCCTCCGCTCGCCTTCTTCCTCTCTAAAACTGCGTCCATGAGCAAAGAACTGAAAGGGAAACAGAAGGCGCTCGGGGAGCGTGGGCTCGAGCCCCGTCCAGCCGGTCCCTGCAGGAGAGGGCACTGAGGTGGCCACCGAGGGGCTGAGGGGCCGGGCATCGATTTCCAGGTGGGGACCTTACTGTGGGGAGAGGTGCCGTGTGCCGTCCAGCACGGATCAGTGACAAGCGCAGGTCCTCGCTGCAGTGACAAGGCCCTTTTGGAGCCTCCGATGCCTGAGAACACATCAGCGGGGCGGGCTCCGAGAAAGGGCCACTGGATGGGACAGCAGGAGCCCGGCTCAGTTTGAGTTTCAGAGAGAGGATACATTTTTGTAGCATAAATATAGCATAATAGTATCAATGTCCCATAGTTGTGACAATACTTATACTAAAAATGATCCACTGTTTATCTGAAAAGAAATCGGACTGTCTCCTCCTATTTTACTTACTAAATCTGGCTATCCCATACGAGGTGGTTGAGAGCTGTTCCAGGCTATGTCCAGGGTTCTGGTGACAAACATCTGGCCTGACCGTGCCTCCTTGGACACAAGGTGGGGTCCCCACAGGTCGGCCCCAAGGCTTCTCTTAAGTGGCCTGCCAGAGAGCAGGCCCATTTAATCCATCCTACCGGGAGGTCCCGCTGTGCCCACGTGCCATCCCAGACACACGAAGCCTTTCTGTGGGTACGAGGAAACAAAGCCAGATTCGCCGTGGAGACTGGCAGCGACAGCACATTGGATGATTTAGATCGAACGTGCGATGGCTTCTTTGTTCAAGGCTGCAGATGTCAAACGGAGGAAGGACTTACAGGGACTGTGGGAACATGGCTGGCAGCACTGGCGGTAGCCCTGGAGGCTGGTGGTGGGGCAGCCAAGAATGGCTTACGGGGCGTGAGGAGGGCGGCCAGTGCCAGCCGAGGGGGAGGCCCCCAGAACGCACAGCACCTGCAGAGTGTATGGGCTGCTGTCGGAGGCCCTCTGGAGAAGGCAGAGCCCGTTAGGACTGTCCAGCAGGGCCCCAGCCCCGGGAGGGCAATGGATGGGGCAGGGTGGCTGGAGGGCTGGGGAGTGTGAGAGCTGGCGTGATAGTCTGGAGGGAGGTCCGGGCCGGTTACCCATGGCCTGTCCTCAGGAGGGCCGCTCCTTGGGGTGGCAAGGACCTGTCTGAAGGGTTGAAGTCCCAGGCTGAGAAGGCCAGCCTTCCACCCAGGAGAAGCCTGTGGGTGGGAGAGAGTACTGAGGCCCGTCTGACAGGATGGGGTCTCTGTGAGAGTGGCTGGGGCCTGCATGGCACCTCACCAAGCGTGAGGAGACAGTGAGGGCCAGGGAGCACCTGCAGGTGGACCGAGGTGCTGGGAGCCAGACGACCCGGACGTAGGACGAGGGTTGAGCCCCTACTGGCGGCCATCAGCCAACGCCAGCACCGGAGGTCAGCAGATGTCGTGCCAGGCCTGGCAGCAGGTTCTGGCCCCGCTCTGGCACCATCCGGGCTGCTCTGGACAAAGCATGCCTCCTCTTGGGGCTGCTCCCTGTCCGCACAAGCGAGGAGCACCAGAGAGTGAGTGGGGCATGTTTGGGGAAGCCACAGCTTCCCTCCCCAGGTCGCCAGGGCCGGCCCATCTGGCAGCGGGTGCAGATGTAGGCCCTGAGCTCCATGCAGGACCTCCTGCTTTGGCCTGGGGCCTTCACGAAGGGGCTGAGACTTGCACCTGCTACACTGCCGCCACCTCGCCCTTCTCAGTGTTTGATCAAGGCAGTCTGAAAGTGAAACAGCCGGGAAGGAAAGTGAAACCAGCTTCCTGTCGCTCGCTGGAGGGAGGGACAGGGACAACAGCGGGTCCAAGTGTGGAGGCAAAGGTCACTCTGTGCCCCTTGAGTGGAAACCCGGGGCACCTTCGCGACTTCCTCATTCCTGATCCGCGTCAGCCGTTCCCGAGCGGTGTCTGGGATGGCAGGTCATCGCTGTGGTTATCACTGCAGCGCTGTCAGCCAGGTGACCCAGGTGACCTGCCCCACACCCCCTGCACCAGAGCCGGCCAGACCGCCACAAGCAGAACAGCACCCCACATGCTAGCCACGCACCGTCACATACAGGCATGGGCACGGGATCACACGTGTGTGCATGTGTATTTGTCCTCAGGTGCACACGCACTCTCAAGACACCCCACACACAGCTTCTGCAAACCCACACGGACGCCCGCCTCTCCAGCTCCCGCGTGTGTGTGCGTCCAGAGTGGCAGAGACACCTGGGCGTCCCTGGACGTGGCACACGCAGCACTGCATGCCCACCCATCCTGCCATGTGCCCAGCTCACACACAGAACACGGCACAAGTGTGCGGCCTCCCTGCTGTTAAGCCTCCTGCCTACAGCTCCCGCTTTCCTCGGCTCTGAAATGCCGTCTCCCACCGGCCAGCAGGCCAGGATTCTAGCCCACTTTTCATTCTGTGTTTACTCACCCAGAGGGCACGGAGGCACATCCAGACACCTCGCCAGCATCTGCCGGCTGCTTTTCCCACACGAGTGTCACAGAGTGGCAACCTGGGCTCTGCCGAAGTGAGAAAATTCTTTTGATTTCCCATCTAGAGAGGCTCTTCAAAGTTGTAAGAAATGCACTCAAGTTATTTCAAGTAATGGCTGTTTATTTTTGTTGATTTATTTATTTATCTTGTAGAGGTTTTTGTTATAGGGCGCGTGCGCTCGCCAGAAAGACAGAGAGAGACAGAGGGATAGAAAGCGAGAAATCACCCCCCAGGGGGCATGGCCACGCCGCAATCCCTTCTCCTCCATTCTCCTCTCGGGATCTTGGGCACACACACACGCACCCAGCGTGAGTTTAAGCCACCGAGTCCGGGATGTGAACCATGGTCAACTACATTGGAGACTAGTGACATAGCCATTACACCAACTGCTGGTCCCAAGTAATGGCTATTTATCGCAATGAAAGAAAGGAAAGACAGATGGACAGACAGACAGGAATCGGCAGCAGCAGCAGTTAGAAGCTGTGCATTAATACCACTGCAGCCTTATCGGTGATGGTAGCCAGCATTCTGAGCGCTGTCTCTCCCTGGCACCAGACAGGGCCCCAGACACTCCGCGCGCTTTACTGTGGACACTCGTGACAGCCTCAGGGCGTGAGGACCAGGATGCCGAGGAGGAGTTTGCAGCTTGCCCCAAGTCCACAGCTGAAAATGTAGGCTGCCCGAGCTGTCCGTGTAACCCAGGAGAACTGCCTTGCCCAGGTAACCCTGACCTGCTGTCCCCAGAAGCTGGCACCGTGTCTGTGCTGGTGGCCTGCTGTTCTCATGGCATGTCTCCCCTGCACTCTGTCCTCTGCCTCCTGCTCCGGTCCCCAACTCCACACTCCCTGAGAGAGACCTGCCAGGTCAGTGGGTTCTGGCCCACGCGGAACTCCTTCGAAGCAGAGTATGCAAATCACCTGCCACAGACCACACGTGCCTGGGCTCCTTTCTGCCCACCAGCTAGCAGCTCTCTTGGAGGGGGACAGTTGGCTATGGTCAGGACAGTGGGCACAGTCACCAGAGGAGGCCCTGTGGGTGGGGCAGACACTACCAACTGCAGAATGTCCCGTGCGGTTTCAAACGCGGCCCTCGGGGGTCGTTACTGAGGTGCTTCTCCTCCGACTCTGTCCAGCCGTCCAGTGACATAACAGAACTCGCTATAAAGTCAGCCCGGGGTTTGTGACTGCAGGCCAGCGTTCTGAATTTCAGCTGGCTCAGGCTGCAGAAGCAGGAGGTGTGGAGAGCTCGCGTGTGGTGACAGCCAGGAAACTCCCTAGACAGCTTTCGGAATGCATTCCTCCTGGGTTGTTTGCCCTCGTTTTAATGTGGAGGCAACAAGGAGCTGGAAAAGTCCCTGGCAGTGGGTCCCAGTGAACTCGGCATCTTGCTACAAGCTGCAGAGGCAGCAGGCCCGGGGCAGGCGCGGCTCCTTTCCTGGGAAGCTGCAGCTGAGAGGCCTCCAGGGACTCCTCAGACACAGGGGACCCAGGTCAGCTCCTCCATCATCCCCCTTCCCAGGAGCCGCTTCTGCTGACAGAAGGACAGAGAGCAATGTCCCAGGTCACTCCAGCCCTGTGACTCCCACACGCAGGCTGCGAATCCACCCTTGGGCCTATCAGAAAAGCCCATCTGAGTTTGATCCTTTGCTCGGGTAGATTAGGGCCATCGGCCTTGACATCTGGGGCTGCTCAGCTGTTGTTAGAGGACGTCCATGTTTTGGGCAGCGGAGGAGCATGAGGAAGGAGCAAAGGACTAGAACACTCCACTGGGAGGGCACACTGACCGCACACGACACCGGCAGCTGGAGTCTGAGCCCCGGCGGCCGTCCCACAAAGGCTGCTGTGTGGCTCGAGACCAGGCACCACGCAGTGGCCGGGCCATCCCTCCCGGGCTCGGCCCAGACTGCCATGGGCACTGACCTTGGCTTTCCTTCAACTCAGGAGGTGCCGCGGGCATGGCGCGGGGCTGGATTCAAACCTTCTCCCACGGCCCAGGGCGTTGGGGTGGGGTTGCCAGACACACAGGACGTGGGTTTCAGGCCGCCAGGTCCTGGCAGCTCCTGTCTCCCCAAATCAGGAGTGAGTCAATGAGGAGTTGCCTCAGACCGCAGCAGCGACAGCTGCAGGACACCAGACCCAGACTTGTCCCTGCTCCGGGCGGGCCTCGGATTGTAAGGGAAGTGTCTGTGGGTGGCCTTATTTTGCTGAGAAAAACCTTTTTTTTGTTCACATTCTCCTTTTACTATTGCAGAAGAAATAAGATCCCCTCTACCATTGGCCCACTGGACATCAGCCTCACCTCCAACTGGGGGCTCTTCCAGGACGGCGTCTGGGCCACAATGCGACGCTGGTCTTGCGCCCTGACCGTCAGGCTGCACGACTGACCACGCAGCCTGCAGGGGATGGCGGGGGGGTGACTCTGAGAGTGGCAAGAGGAAGCCCCACATCTCACGACTAAATCCAACCCAGCCCCGGACTGGAGGGCCTAGCGACGAGCCGCTCAGCCGTGAGTGGACACGCTGTTCCCTGAGGGGACATGCCCAGGCTCCCGGCCCCGTGCTGTCCCAAGGGGACTCTGAGGGTCCACGACTCGGAGGAGACCACTCAACACCTGGATCTCCCCACCCTGAAGCCCACGTGCCCACAGGACCTTCAGGCCACGTGCAGGACAAGGGCAGCCCAGGGCTCTGGGTGTCCTCTGGCCCTCGCCGGAGAACCAGCCTCTCTCCCTTCTGCTCCTAAGGGAAGAGGCGGAGACGGGCTCCCTGGTCCAGAACTCCCGCCTTGTGGGGCTCCAGGACTTGCTCTTGAGGGTCTCTGCCAAGGAAAGACCCCAGCGCGCCGTTGGTCCCCCTCTCAAGCCTCAGGTCTCAGGCTGAGGGACTCCTCCAGGATCAGAGAAGCAGGGAGTGGAGCACAGGGACCGGGTGCTCAGGGCGAACGTGTGTGAGGAAGCGCCTGGCTGGTCTCCGGGCTGGCCGCCCACCCAGACCCCCGTGTTGTTTCCCGAGGCCACTGTAATGCAGCACCCCAGGCTGGGTGGCTCCCAGCCTGGAAATTCACCGTCTCACAGGTGGAGGCCGGAGGTCCAGGGGAGGTGTGGGCAGGGCAGGTCCTGAGGCCTTGCCCCTTGCCGGTCCTGTCGCCTCTCCCTGTGTCTTTACATCATTCCCGCTCTGCAGGTGTCTGTCCAAACCCTCTTCTCACAAGGACACTCGCCACATGGGATCAGGGCCCACGAATCCAGACGGCGACGCTTAACTTCACCTCTTCAAAGGCCCTGTCTCCAAACAGGGCCGCGTTCTAGGGGTAAGAGGGGCTAGGGCTTCCTGGGGTCAACTTGGGAGGCCTACCTGAGCCATGAATCTCCTCTCAGTGGAGGCCACCCCACAGATGATGGCCCCGGCCCTCGCTGTCACAGAGCATTTTCCTTCACAGGTTCTCCTCCCGCAGTCCCGCCCCGGCCCCTCTGCAGTCAGCAGGGAAGGCGTGCCTGCCCCATCTCACAGGTGAGAAAGCAGAGACCCGAGAGGGGACGAAGGCCATCCCAGACCTCACTGCCGGGAAGCGACCCGGCTTCCTTCCCCTCTTGCAGAACTCTAAACCCACTGTGCTGTGCTTCGTTTCTAAAGAGTTCTTTGTTTCATTTTATTTATCCTTGTTATTACTTTTTTTTTTTTTGGAGAGATTTTCACTGTAGGGC